TAAGTATTATTTAAATAAATATGGAAATAATCTCCTTATTTTTGCAATGAACCCAAAAAATTTAAAAAACATACACGGTTATCCGAATATCCCTCTATTTTACCAAGACATTTTGAAATCCTGGATTGCAATCGGGGGAGGTGAAAGACAATATCCAAAAAAAATAGAAGACATAGCAAATGAGTTAATTTGGGGAAATCAATATATAAAAAATGAAAATAAAGTATTAATATATAAAAACTGGATTGACAGTAAACTCTTACGACTACAGGACATTTTAGATCAAGAAGGAAAGATAAGTGAAAATATCATTTTTAATAAGCTTAAAAATAAGAGAGATTGGATCTCACAAGTTTCTGTAGTTAAAAAATCTGTTCCTAAAACATGGAAAGAAAAATTAAAATATTCAGACATACAAAAATTCAAAATAAAAAATGATTATGACGTGCTAACTGTTAAACTTAGGAATAAAGTGAAAAGAGTTTGTGTAGATGAAATTTCGAATAAACAAATATATGACAATTTCCTTAAAATGAATTCAATAAAACCAATTGCATATATTGCTTGGGAGAACGAATTTGACATAGGCACAACAGAGTTGGGAGACAGATTTAAAAAGATGATTAGCTTCACTTTAACAAATATTAGTGATAACAAATTGAAAATGTTTAGATGGAAATTGATACACAGAATACTACCAAATAGTCAACTACTATATAAGTGGAAAATTAAAGATAGTCCGTTATGTAATGTGTGTGGGGTTATAGAAACATATGATCATTTCTTCACAAATTGTAGATACATTGCAGCATTTAAAGCGAAAATGAACAACTTCTTTGGAAAAATGGGGTACAAAAAAGATATGATAACTTTACGAAACATTGTTCTTGGATACAAAATTACCTATGAGAAATATGATGTAATAAATCTCTTATTAACCTATATAGCCTATGCAATATATAAAGGATATTATGTAAGTGAACAAAAAACAATAAACATCAACATAGACAATATTCTAAAGAGTGAGCTGCGTATGACTATAGCTATAAAGAAATATACCGGAACCGGAATTCATCATCTTATCCAAGTAGCTTGTGAACAGTTGGGTATAGACATATAATCCACCTTTTCATATTTTTATGAGAATCACATCTTGTATTTATGTTGCAAGCATATTAATCTCCTTCGATCCGGAAGCACGACATACAATATTGTAATCCATACACTGCATACCTGTAAATAAAAAAGATCAGTTATTTACAAACAAACACACCACGTGGTTTAGAAGCGTCTGCCGACCTTGACCCACCGACTCACATTTGCATACTAATAAGGGCATATAGTTATTAACTTGCATTAACAAAACACTATTATTTTAATTTTTTGTCATATAAAGATGTATATTTATATATATAGAAGGTATAAAGATAATATAAACTGATAAACATAACTCGTCTGTATGACTAGGCAGGCCAACTGTACAACCTGTATTTCTGAGTTATCCGATAGTGTTACATATAGCTCGAAAATATTACAATGAAAAAAAAATCTTTTCTGGTTCTTGCACATATGGAAATGATATTATGGATAAAATTAGTATTTACTTACCCTACAGGAGTGTAAATTGTAGGACTGGCTTGCTCCACGTGGCGACAACCTGGCGACTTTCGTGTACACGTGCCAGTGGTAACATAAGAGTTATTCCCCCTGAACGATTTGGGGTTGCGCTAAATTCACGAAATTTCCAATACCAGGCTAATTTTTCTATTTGTAGGTGTGTGTGTGTGTGTGTGTGTGTGTGTGTGTGTGCGTTTGTGCTGCTAACATGCCGAGGTAACTCATTGAACTACACACCCACGTACCGAGGTAAGGGAAACTACCGAGGTACTTTTCTCCATTACCTCGGTAGGTATACCTCGCCAACTACTTCGGGAGTTCGTCTTGAACACGCTCGCTAAATTTCGTGACTACCTCCCTACAACGGTGAAATGTTTGTGCGCGTGTGACGGTTACATGGGATCAACTTTTTCTTTTCAAACACACACGACACCGAACACCACACACTACGTTCGGAATGCGCGCGCAATCGCGCACGCGATTCGGAAGTCGTCGGAACTTATCCCGACATTGTACGGAAAAGGCGCCAGCACGAGGTGACGGTCCTCAGAAGTGTCCAGCGAGGTAAGATTTGGGTTTTGGGTTTATGCAGGTTATGGAGGCAAAGAAAACTGCAGGTTATATTGTTACACGACATTATAAGAATTACGATCAATGTATTTGCTACTGCCTGTTTCACTCACTGGATTTTAATAACACGTTCAGGGCTGATACCCAGGAATTCTTCGTTGACGTATTTTCTACAAAGCATCTGTTGAAATTAGCAGAATTTATTGCACGTTTAAACATAGAGGCACGGTTGGTGAATATTGTGCATGATATGCCATTACATAGCCAGACTTGTGGTATGTATTGACGGCCATTTATATATATAATTAGATATTCAAGTTGAAGCAAATGTGATCGACGGGTGTCACTTACACTTAAAAGTCAACTCGTCTATGTTTCAGGTAGGCCCAAAATGAATGACAACAACTTTAATGTCAGCATTTTAAGCAAGTTTGTGTATGTTTCAAAAATTACAGCAAATGGGCAACCCAAAATTTGAATATAGATATAGTGACAATAAAACCTTAATATAATAGGCCTAGTGAGTATTTAGCTTCATCAGCACTGTGGTTGTGTCTTGTATGTGTCACTTGCTACAGGTGACTGGTCATTGGAAACTCAACTCAGCAACTAAAATTCCACTGACTATTATGGGAAACGTTTTAGTGGATAGGTTAACGTTGGCAGTGATTTTTTGGGGTACATTTGGGGCCGAATAAATGCCCCTCCCCCTAGAGAAATCTTGTTACATTTTATCAATTTCATGTTCATATTTTCCCAATCAGAAAATATAAAAAAATGTCCCTGTTCAATTTGAAGAAATTTTGATTAAAAAACCAAGGAAAATGGCCCTATAAACATCTTATTCATTTGAAGCTAACTACATAAGTGTAAAACAAATATCTGTTCATGGTATTTTTCCATTTCAAAAGAAAGAACATGTTTTCCCAAATGCCAGAAAATACCACTGTATTTTCCCAATTGAAAAGGTACAGGCCCATGTATAAAAAGGGTAAGAAAATCACTGGTTGGTGAGTATTTTACTAGTGTAACAGGAAAGAGAATAGTGTGCCTCAACCAGGAGTCGAACCCTCAATCTCCAGGTTACTTGTCACAGTAGTCAGACGCTCTACCACTGAGCTAAAGGGAAGTTCCCCCTAGCTCAAAGCTAGAAGGCGACCTAAGGAACGAGGAAAGGAGCCATCAGAGATTTTTTTTATTTACACATACATGGGTGGCTAGTAATATGTTGTTGAGCAGTTATTTGATTGAAATACATCACAAAATACTCGCCAACCTGTCCACGAACACCTATGATGGTCCGGCTAGTAACCTGGAGATTGGACAATGGTAATACAAACATTAATAACTCAAGCCCCGAACTTGAATTGGTCAGCTCCAACCACTATCAAAATCCTAGACCTACTGTTATTGTCACTATGTATATGTACTGTAATAGGAAAGAGAATAGTGTGCCTCCACCAGGAGTCGAACACTCAATCTCCAGGTTACCAGTCGGACGCTCTACCACTGAGCTAAGGGAAATCTCCCCTAGCCCGAAGCTAGAAGGCGACCTAAATCCTATGTACAATTAAACCCTGCCACACTACTCCCCCCTTTTAAATGTGTTTGCCCTCAAACACCACAATCCAGGTCTAGCTCCCTATCATTTCAGGGAGGGTGTCCGACACCATTTGTAACTGGAAAGAGAAAAGTGTGCCTCCACCAGGAGTCAAACCCTTGATCTCCAGGTTACTAGTCTGACGCTCTACCACTGAGCTAAAGGGAAATTCCCCCTAGCTCAAAGCTAGAAGGCAACCTAAATCCTATATATATGTAAAATTAAAACTGAAAAAAAAATTAATCAATTAAATCTATTTCATTCACTAAAAGTAGGACTTAAAGTACATGTACATGCCTAGGCAAGCCTGGAATGCAGTGTTAAATGTTGAAAAAGCTAATTAATGTCAGTTTCTAGCTTCTTATAATTTCATGTCGCCATTGGCATTTCCTGGCTACGATCACACATACAAGAACCACTTATATGTAAAGGTCAGTTGTCTCTAAGGATGTTTAACTTTGAGGAACAAACATCATATTATAAGGCTAAGAATACTTTTTTTTTTTTGACAGATTGATGCGCTTTTTATTTCATTGATTTTGTTTGCATTTTGTTTGACCATGGATGACAACATTCCTTTTGGTTTTATTGGTTTTCTTTCTGATTTTGAGTACTCCCAACTTTGTTCCTTTTGTTCTGACTTTGAGTTTGATGTCTTGGAAGTATTTCTTTGTGGTTTCAACTTTTTGATATTTTACGGTGCAGCTGGATTTTACGCCGCAATTTACTTTTGTTCTTTTCGTAATTTTAATGTGTTTGCTTATGAATTGGCATGATGGTTAAAGCATTGCAATGGTTTACTTTAAAGGTAAGATTAATCATATCAGGCACAGTAGTGAAATTAATAGTACTACCACAATTAGATAGTTGCTGAAGTATTATTTTACATTAAGGCTAAAGCTATTTATGATCAATAGAGATGAGGATTCCTCTCCAAATAGCTACGTGGGAACCAAACAGGTTACAACAAAGCATTTTACCACCTAATGTCAGCAAGTTTCATTAAAAGGTTTGGGTGCTGTTATTCCTAAGCTTGCTCTGGCTCTATTATTTTTATACCACATTACAAGAAAAGGATCATTTTAAAATGTTTTGGTGTCTAGGTCTCTATCAATGATGATTCACTCAAATTTCATCTCTATGTGCAAATGTATGAATGCATTTGTTCAGCTCAACAATTTCGGAAATTATAAATCTCTTGTTTTTCATTTAGATGGGGAGGAAAAGGAGAAAGACAAATCTCAAAAAGAAAAAGCAGAATGGTAAGTGCTTTTCTACATGTACGCTTGGTTTATAAATCACAGGTCCGCTGTATAGAACCCCCTGAAGAAAATGGGACCTAAATTAAAATACTTGTATTGTTTGTTTGACTCTGACCGACCATCCCAAAAATAAACTGCCAACTGGAAAAAAATTATTGGGTTTCTGCATGAGTACATATATATGTACCAGGAATGTTAAATGGTATTGTATCACCATTTTAAACAAGTTTTGTTTAAAAATGAAATTATAAAATTATTTGTAGTAGCTACTCATAAATAATTACTTTTACATGATGAACTTTTCATACTTCATCCAAATGAAATATTTTTACTACCTTGGCTATATCAACCAAAGTAACAAGTTGCTGCAAGGTTGCATCTGTCAGAACCAAACAAAGATTATATTAAGGATTGCCTGACTGCAGATCTTTGCATATTTTAATAAAGCTAGCTGTTTTCTTTATGCCAAAGCACTCCTATTACTTAGATGTTATTTATGAATTCAATAACAAAATATTGATAATTAAAATAGTCAGATACAATAGTGTAAGAAGAAATTTGGATGTCATGTAATTGAAAACACGATAGAGTCTGTAATTGAAAACACGATAGAGTCTGGTGACATTTTTATTACAGATTTGCATGAGCCTAATGGTAATCTGGGTGGAATACTGATTAAGATAGATGGAGGCATCTGGTGGCCAGGGTATGTGGTTGATGGTTGCGGAACATTTCTTAATGAGGAAGAGGAGGTTAGGTAAGTTATAAATACTAAGTAAAGTGTTTATCATATTAATAATTATTGGGCCAATACATAATTATGTATGCTTCAGAGGTAACCCAACCATTTTGAGATTTTCAGTCTGACCCCAACATTTGTACTGCCATTTTCAAATGAAATCAAATGCACATGTGTTGTCAATAACACCGGACAAACCTGGCAGAGTAAACTATGTAAACAATCCAAATCTAAGACAGAAAAAACAAAAACAATTAATTTTGCAGAAGGGAATACCTGCCTATTGAAGAGGGTCATTAGAACCACCCTATCGACACCCGACCTTAGACCTAATTATTGCACAATAGTTTTCATTTTGCTTCTTTGTATTTTTTGCTTTTAACTGGAATTTTATACTGTATTTATAATCTATTTCATTATTCTTTTGCCTTGTAGCATTCCATTGACATGCAGTAATTGGTGTCCCATTCCACCATCTGCTGATGATACCAGAATTAAGAAGTCTCTAGGTAAATGAAACATACATTGTTGTTATGCATTGCATCATCATATTACAGGTAAAGGTACTGTATTATATAAATTAGGGCTGCTACAAGTAAAATGTTCTACTTTAACAAAAATTGTTAATATTTGTTTGCTATTCCATTATTTTGTCATTTCACATGACACATCTCTATCCACTGTGAGACGGTATCTTGGAGCAGAAACATTCCTCTTTTTTTATCGACTTTAAATGTGTGGTCATTGAGTCAATGGTGACTGCAGATATATATCTTAGTGACTGACAATTTATCAACGGCAAATACTGAATTTAATATTATGGAAGTAATTCTTTGAAAGAATTATATAATGCAATAATTGCAGTCCAACAGCTAATTTCAAACAATGCTGATCATCCTGGAAACAGAGCTGTAATGAAAATTTGCCAATTCATACAGGTGAACCAAAATTGATTATGCTATAGTTTTGTTCCCTGTCATAAATATAATACAGTATATAAATTGATTACATCTACTTCACTTTACTGTAACTTCAAAGCCTACCGATGGGGCTAGAGATAAATTAAGCAGACATTGTAGTGACTGTTTTCTGGATTAATTGCAATAAGGACTGCTAATCTACTGTTTAAGGATAATCCATTATTCTTAGCTGCCCTAAATATCATTTTCATGCTTTCAAGGAAGGAAGATGACTTAAGTTGGTAGACATGTTTACTACATGTGACCTAGTTTTACAGCAAAGTTTAAGTCTAAAAATAACAGATTTGGATATGGCTGCCGGTGGCCATCTTGAATTGCCACTTGTATTATATGTGCAAATGGCATCTAACAATTAAGAGTAAGAATTATTTATCATGAAACATTAAATGATATACATACATGTATTTCAAGCCACATTGAGGAGGTCACCAGTCTATTTCAGGCAAATTAGAGTATTTCTAATTCAATTTGAATTTTACAATGTACAGTAACATCAAACATCATAAAATATAAAAAGCTAGTTATTAGTTTTCTATGTTGTAATATATTGTTTAGTTAAATGTTGATTATGAAGGACCTCAACCAAATAGGTCAAAGCAGCTGAAATGTTTTATAATACATCTTAACCTTACAGGAAAACTGTCTGCAGAACACAAGAAGTCATATAAGCTGGACCTTATGAAGCTTCAAGGAAAAGGTAGGAATTTTTCCCCATGTACATTATGCATACTCCCTGTTCATGTTAGGAATCACAGAGTTTGTTGGGTTTAATTCCTCTTTGGCAAACTTTGAGCCCCCCCCCCCCCCCCCTTGAACTGATAAAGACATGTTTTTATTGCCGTGTTTTTAAAAGATAAATTTCATTGCACCCGTCCTTGATCAATTGGTTCATTTTCTAATTGGGGTCAATTATCAATTTATATCTGAAATGCCAATGATTTGAACTTCCATGTTGCGTCCCCAAATTCTAAGCCATAGGCGACTGTTGAATACCCGATCAAATGTGAAAAGGTTTGGGGTCACCTGCCCAACCACATGGATTTTCTGTGGGGCCTTTGGTTTCCTCCCACATTAAGACTCCTGCACGCTATCATCCGGGCCAAGAGTGATTAATGTTAGTTAAGATATCTTGTTTCCTACTTGTTGTAAAATAAATAATATTTATAGTTAACAACTAATTAAAAGGCTTTGATTGCCTAAAATAATTATATCTCGACAACAAAATCAGAAGCTGGGAAGAAGCAGATAAGTTTGATGTACGATTAGTGGTAGTATAAATTGGTTGAAATTACATTAATTAATGGTCAGAATTGATTGTTTGTAAATCAACATCAGTTTTGCTCATATTCTTAACAAATTTGAAAATGATGCAAAAATGTTGCAAAAAACACATTCCATGTATTAATGGTTCTAACTATTACTAACGATGATTTTTATGCCACAAAACTCTCATTTATATTTATCACACTTACATTCATAATTACACAAATAGCTGTTATATTGTTCTAAGATAAAGTACTGCCTATGCCAGCTATATATTACTTAAGAGACACTAATTTGATATTAAACTTAAAAATTGTACAAATATAAGATCAGGACCTTGTTACAAATACAGGGTCATCAGACATGCAGTCTTCAGACATGGGCCAATCATCAGACATGCAGTCTTCAAAGATGGGCCAATCATCACACATGCAGTCACCAGACATGGGCCAATCATCAGACATGCAGTCTTCAGACATGGGCCAATCATCACACATCCAGCCTTCAGACATGGGCCAATCATCACACATCCAGCCTTCAGTCAGCCTTCCGTCAGTCAGACAGCCTTCAGGCATGCAGTCACCAGACATGGGCCAATCATTAGACATGCAGTCCTCAGACATGGACCAATCATCAGACATTCAGTCTTTAGACATGGGCCAATCATTAGACATACAGTCCTCAGACATGGGCCAATCATCAGACATGCAGTCTTCAGACATGGGCCAATCATCACACATCCAGCCTTCAGACATAGGCCAATCATCACACATCCAGCCTTCAGTCAGCCTTCAGTCAGTCAGACAGCCTTCAGAAATGCAGTCTTCAGACATGGGCCAATCATCACTCATCCAATTATTAGACATGGGCCAATCATCACTCATCCAATCATCAGACATGGACCAATCATCACTCATCCAATCATCAGACATGGGCCAATCATCACTCATCCAATCATCAGACATGGACCAATCATCACTCATCCAATCATCAGACATGGACCAATCATCAGCCAGATGCCAGCCTTCAGCCAGCCTTCAGTCAGTCAGGCAGCCTTCAGACATGGGTCAGCCTTCGGGCATTCAGCAATCAGTCATGGCGAAGGCTTCAGTCAGCCAGCTCTTAGACATAGATCAGCTTTCAGATATAGACCAACTTTCAGACATGTACCAGCCTTCAGACATGGAATTTAACGATTGGGAAGATTTTGATGCTGATCCAGATTTTGTGCCAAAATCAGATTTGGAGGATGATTCAGAGGATGAAAAAATGTCAGAAATATTTCCAGAATTAATGTGGGATAACACTGAGGTTGAAAGATTGTCTGATTCGAAATGCAGTGTATTACAAGTGCAAATATCTAAAAATCAGGATGGTGTTCGGTTTTGGGATAAGAAGCATTTCTGTTTATATTGCCATGAAGGTTATACAAACATTACAAAACACTATTTAGGCCCCCACAAGAATGAAATGGAAGTCCAACGAATTTTATCCCATCCATTAAAGTCTGAGGGAAGAAGGCTAGGCTTATTGAAACTTCGAAATAGTGGGGACTATCATCACAACACTGATGTTTTGAAAAGTGGAAGTGGAATATTTGTAACGTGGACAAGGAATGAAGATAACACACTTTCACCACATGACTATTTGCCATGTGAGGATTGTCTTGGTTTTTTTCTTAAATCAAACCTATGGAGACATAGAAAAGTGTGTCCACTTCGAAAGGATGCCACACACATACCAAGACTGAGGTCAGAAGCTAACCTTTTGCTACCTGCTGCTGCAGATGTGTGTGAAGCCATGCAGAAAGAGGTCATTGGCCGTATGAAAGCTGATGAAATTACACAAGTTGTCCGCAATGATGCCACCATAATTCGGCTAGGGGAGAAACTTTTCCAAAAGCATGGACACCTGCCTCATCTGTTTGTGTATGTAAGTCAGAAAATGAGGGAGTTGGGTCGGTTCTTAATCAGTGCACGGAAAGAGGATCCAGCAATAAACTCTCTTGCTGATGTTCTTTTGCCAGAAAAGTTTGCTACTGTTGTGAGATCAACTAAAAACCTTTGTGGCTACAGTTGTGATGACAACAAATACGCCAATCCATCGCTTGCTTTAAAGATTGGACATCTCTTAAAAAAATGTGCTATGATCCAGAAAGCGAATGCTTTGATGACAGAAGACACATCATTGGGATCCAAATCTGATGCTTTTCTGTCGTTGTGTGAAATGGAATGGACAGATTCTGTGTCAGGTATGGCCCTTCAGACCCTGAGCACAGCAAAGATGAATAAAGGACAGCTTTTGCCATTGACAGAGGACATCAAAAAAGTTCAGGATTACCTGAAAGAAAAAACTAGTGACCTGACAGAAAACCTGAAAATCAGCTTCTCCAAAGACACCTGGAATACTTTGAACCAAGTAACTTTGGCCCGTCTTGTTTTATTCAACAGGAGAAGAGGGGGTGAGGCAGAAAGGATCACCATGAAAGATTACCGCGAAAGACAGAAATCAGGGAGTTGTCTAAAAGACATTGAAGAATCATTAAGTCCAATGGAAAAAGTCCTTTGTTCTACCTTCGAAAGAGTAGAAATCCGTGGAAAAAGGGGACGTATTGTCCCAGTTTTGTTAACTGCTACCCTACAGAAAAGCATAGAGTGTCTTATGAAATACAGAGATGCAGCTGGTGTTCATCCGGATAACAAGTATGTTTTCCCAAGGTCTTCATTTGACTCGCTGAATCCAATCAGAAGTGCAGACAGCCTGAGACGTTTTGGTAGGGAAGCCAAACTGTCGGTACCTGAAAACCTTACTAGCACCCAGCTTCGAAAGCATGTTGCAACAGTAAGTCAGGTTTTGAACCTAACAAAAAATGACTTGGAAAATATTGCTGGATTTATGGGGCATGACATTGAAATCCATAGGTCATTCTACAGGTTACCACAGGAAACTTTGCAGGTTGCAAGAATGGGAAGGTTACTAACAGCATTTGACAGTGGAGATGTGGCCAGGTACAGTGGGAAATCAATCGAAGAAATTCCAGTTGATGAGGGTATGTACATAATTATATTGATTTATTACAACTCTGCAGGACTGAAACTTGTGTTGATGATTGATTATAATCAATGTCTAATCGAAAAGGCAACCCATTCCAGACGATCAGTTAAATGAGATGGGCGTTTTCAAAACCAGAAGTGCAAGTCTAGTAATCTGAAACAACAATCATTTCGGTGTTTTTTTTGTTGTATTCACATAATGACACTTACTTCTGTGTCCATGAAATGTCATTTGAATTGGGAATCTGTTTCTCATCAATACCTTTCTAGTTTTTGCACACTTTTTAGCTCGCAGAGATAGAGCCTGCAGAATTATCTTTGAATTTTTGGGGTAAAAACATATATTTTTGTACATGAGAGGTTAAAGTTTTTTGGTAATCCACCAGATGAAGTAGGGCCAGCATATTTCTAGTGTTTTATACACGTAGTCATGTACCTATAAAATTGTCACTAAATATATTTACCTTTGGTATACATGTATGGGAGAGAAAGGCAAACTCATCTACATATCCTAATTAAAAGACTTAATTGTCAATAATTGGCAATGTTCCTCAGATAATTTTTCTTGCATGAATTGATCTTTCTTATTGTAAAGGGTTGTAGGATTTGGAATATAATTGTTTAACCATGTAACTCTCATCATTGTCTTTATATGTGTTAGCTTAATCTATATTATAGACTTGGAGCTTGATGATCAACCTGAAGGTGGTGATGAACTTCCAATTGATAACGAAAATGATCAGTCTGAACCTAGTAATGATGACATGGAAAACGTTTCGCCTGATGGTAAGGAGTTTGTGGAAATTATATAAATAGTGATTTCGTAGTATTTTTTGTTGAATACATTTGTCAACTATTATTAGGTCAGTTATCTGATGTCCTGCTGCCTTCATGCTTCGTCCATAGTGGTTGCATACATTAGACATTTCACATAATTGGAACTCCTTCCAAAGAGGCTGTTTTTCAATGACCACAAGCTCTTAATTTCTTCAAAAATCCTTTAGTAGTTCCAGAATTGCTAGTACTAAAAACTCCAATTAGTAGATTTAAAGATATATAGTGCTTTATCAGAATTGTGAGTTTCGGTCCTGGTATGTCCCTTGTTGCCCCCTGGGGAGGGAGTACTGTGAATGTTAGTGAAGCATTTTAATAGTATCGCCTCTTACATAGTTAGAACTTTCGTCAATAAAATATCTTCTCCATGCATGTGAAATGGAACTCAAATACATTGCTTTTGAATTCATATTATTGATGAAATGTTTTTGAAATATGAGCAACAGTGCTGATATTAACATTTGCACCTTATGCCTTAATGGTTACATACTGTATCCACAGTACTCCATGCAGTCTCATTGCAATTAGCTTGTAACTTTTATCCATTATGGAGGTACAACATCTCTAATTTAAATACTGACCTTCCTGTTGCTAGGGGGTAACAATTTCAGTAAAAAAAGTTTCTGAGTTTATAACTACCAAGAACACGATTGCATACAAATGTTTTCCCAGACACTTCATTTCAAAAATATTCATTTACACATTACATTTTTAATTACCGCATCCCTGATAAATCTGCAGTGATTTATAGACATTCTTTGTAATAAAAAGAACAACATTTGTGTATGTGTAGCAATATATAGAAATTGCTCTATTGTTATATATTCCAGTGACACCTAATCCCAATCCCCAGCAGAACCACACTGTTAGAGTAGCGAGACCATGTCATTCCAATAGAAAAGGTACTGTATATGGAGTAGAAACAGATGGAGTCTTTGCTGTATTCGTGTTCTATTAGCTTCCCTCCTTTTTTATGGTCTTTTTGTTTATGAAAATACACTATCGAAAAAGATTTAAGGCCTGTTACATAGTAAATACTGGATATAAAGTTTTAAATAATTGTTGATTGTATAATTCCTAAATATGTTTGTAAACAACTTTTTTTATGTCTTAAGTGTTCCTCTGTCATGGTTATTTTGTCTTTTTAAAATTACCAAATCAACCACCCTTTTCATCAAAAACTGAAACATGGGTAAGTCATCTGTTTCCAAAAATGAAATCACAGCCACCTTATTAGATTGACTGTCAAAACAAAGAAAGTGTCAACACATTTTCATAATAAAAATTTAGCTAAAATGTACCTCAAATCATTGCAGATCTCATATGAATATTGTTTGTGAGATTTAAGCAATATCATAAATAAAATCTCCAGCTTGACAAAGGCCACCAATCTAGAGATCTCTAGCTTGCTATGAGCAAGGCATGTCATACTATTTCATTACCATTATAGCATACTGTATTCGACCCAATAGAAGTTTTCTAAAACTCCATAATATGATTTGATAGCCATTTGTCAAACAAAAATTAAAAAACAAAAACATTGTGACATCATAATAATGTCTGTGTTGTTTTATTTGCAATTCCCCAAACAGTTAATTTTGATGTAATCAATTATATCATTTTTTATTAAAGCATTAAACCTCTTAGATGAAGTCAAAATAATACTAGTATAAGCAATTTTGTAAACTTATTCCTGTATGTCCATTTCATGCTTCATTCTTTAACATTTGATCAAACTTTATACATTTATACAAAGGTCATATATGAGTATACATACTTAAGATTCTGTGGTGATTCAGGGTTTTAAAGTCAAGGTCACTGTTACTATATATAAAGAAAGTGATAACTAATTCTGTTGTTTCAAACTACATGTAAACACTTCTAAAAGTAAATTCTTCGACAGAATTTGATAAAACTTTATGGGAAGGTCAAGTATGAACATTTTTAAAATATTGTTATAATTCATGGTCCCAAGGTCAAGCTAAGGCTACAGGTTACTGTTGCTATATTTAGAACAAAATCATGAAATAATGCATCCTGTCCACATTCAGTGTAAACATGGCATCAGGGGATTTATGTCTTCCAGACTTTAATTTTTTTTTTTTTTGGGGGGGGGGGGGATGTCAAGAACAAAGCGATATTAAAGTGACTAATAATTTACCCTTAAGTCTTGTCTAAAATTGTTTTAGTTCAAGTGAAGTTACCTATGACATAGTGTCTATGACATCTTGAATTTGTACTTGTCATTTTCAGGCCAAGTGAAGCTAAACGTGACTCAACAGCAGTGCCTAAAGCTGATTTTTCATGGAAATGTCCACCTTCGCAAGGAACTCAAAAGGAAAGAATGTGAAGAAGCTATTGCAGCACATAGCTGCCTTAAGGGGTTGGAATGGAAGAAAATAAAAAACACCATTCATAATTGGATAACAAGCAAAAAAATCAAAACCAAAAAAATGTTGAAACAACAGGAAAGGTAGGTCGCTATGTGGGCCCACAAAAGTTTAGAAGTTTTGAACAACTATCAAAGTATGTAATCACATTTTAGTCATTTCATTGAAATGATTTTATTTTTTTTGTACTTTGGTAAGTGTTATAATTCTTGTTATCATTGCGTCCATCAGTATGTTCATCAGCATTTTCGCCAAAGATTCTTTTCCTGTTTGATTCTTCTACACATACTTGTAGCTTCTACAGTATGAAGATTGGTAAATGCCCTAGGTGGCAATATCTTTTTTAATAACACTTTTATTGGATGAAAGAGGACCTGAGAAACAAGTACATTTTTCTTTAGCCTATTGCAAAGGTATTGCATCTGAATAAAGTATAGAAGTTGATTCGAATTAAACACCTGAGTGAGGGGAGGGGTGAGCAAACAAGGTGATACAAGTTTACATTGATGATGTAATGAGAGAAAGAGGTTATTATAGAAGCAATTAATTCAAGGGTCCTTCCCCAGGGTTGATGTTTTGTAATAGCCCTTATGAAGTATGTAGTTTCCGCATCTATGATACATGAGCCCTATCGGAACTACCTTGTCTGTCTGTCCATTTATATTTGGTTTGCATAGATTATTTAAAAGTGCACATGGTAATAGCCTATGGTTTGTAGATGTGCAGTAATCGTTTAATTTTTTCTTGGTAATCCAAAATGGTCACCAGGGCCTCACTTCCAATGTGGAACATTTTGGAATATAATTACTGTTCTAGTAAACCAATTCTGATTACACTTAAAAGTGATAAGAGTGATTCATAGGGCAATGGATTTAAATTGTAATTCAATTAGTTTAATGAAGGCTTCTAGTTGGTCAAAATCTACTTATTTTTTATGTAGATCAAATTTGCTTTGTAGAACTTATGACTTATGTCTAACATAGTCATAACAGTTTGGTTGCCATGTTAGCAAAAATGGAAGCCTCTTTCTAATTGGTCAATTTACACACCTGTATTTCTGAATTTAGAGTTGCAATTGGCTGGGGGCCTTTTTTTGATGAAGTACATCAGTTTTCTAGTTTTATTTTGTATGATTATATACAGTAAATCAGGTTGGCAATAAAGTCTGATATTTTTCAGAAATAACTGTATAATTCTTGATAATGGCATTTGGTGTGGGTAACTTGCCAAAGGAGGTGCCCATATTAGGTATAATTTTTTACCATAATTTTGTTATGCAGAAAATTCTGTTTCTCTTCAATTGCTACTTTATATGTGGTTTTGCAACTGAATCAGATACAGAATATTACATGAATATATTCAAAATAGCTATATGATAAAATAAAGATTGCTCTCCAAGTGGCCAAGCGTTAGATCAAAACTTTCTAGCACAACATGGCATTTTACTATCTTATGTTTAGGAATTTTATTGAAAAATTCTGGGAGCCTCCTTATTAAGAATGATGCAATGTTTTACAGACAATTTTATCTATGTTCATGTATCTCTTTTTATTTTATTTTTTTCTATCTGAAAATAAATGTTAACTCAAGTGAGTCAAGAAATTGCAATGTTTGTGACCTTATGGTCAAATTCTGTTTTTTTTCTGTTGTCTTACTCATAATGTTTTCTCAATTTTGTAGTTGTGTTTTTCTCTATGAATATAACTTGTAGTTGTTAAACATAAATAAAAATTACTCGATAGTTTACATCCGCTTCTAATTTTCAATATTTTTGTAAAACAATCCTGAAATGGATCCATGGTAATTGGGTCATTTTAAACAGAATAAATAGCAACACAAATCACACTTTTTGCATGAAAGGTTTTTCATGAATATTGCAATAACATATAATTATTATCATATTTCCTGTTTTATTATTCTGTACTTGGTTTGTTCCAATGCTGTTATGTAAAGATGAGTAAATGTGTGTGCAGAACTACTAATTTAATGGTGGTGAATATTCCTAAACTGTTTCCTGTATTTTTACATACACACCATGATTTGGTTTAGTTGCTTTGCAGGTTCCAAACTTCATTATTGTCATGATTTTTTTGTTTTTATCAATAAAAACTTTACATCATGTCTTCTTAATTTTCTTTTTCATATTGACAGTAATTTTATATGGGGTCTATTCTTATTACTGAGTCACATTTGGAACTTCTGGTTGCAGTCAATTAATTTTGATTGGTAAAATTGTAATATATTCCTGGTGTTCCAGTCACCTCTTGTTTCCTGGAAAAAGTGATTAAGGGTCAAACATGATTTCACAAAAACACATTTAATCTCATGATTTGGTTCATTACACAGTAATTTGAAGTAATGAAATAATAGATGACCAAGTGTGAATATATTGCTGTCGGCATAGGTTTGTGTCTGCATGCTTTTTTTTATGTCATCTGACCTGATTGCTCTTCTAGAGTTCCACCGGTGGGATTCTGCTCGGACTTGTCAGAAATGCTGAGACGGTCCTGACAAAGTGTTGATGTTTATATAAGGGGTCTGTACGAAATTTGAAATATACACTCAAGTCTGTCAAAAGTGAAAATACCTCGGGAATATACACTCATGTCTGTCAAAAGTGTTAATACCTCGGTAATATACACTCATGTCTGTCAAAAGTGTAAATACCTCGGGAATATACACTCATGTCTGTCAAAAATGTAAATACCTCGGTAATATACACTTATGTCTGTCAAAAGTGTTAATACTGTACCTCGGGAATATACACTCACGTTTGTCAAAAGTGTAAATACCTCGGGAATATACACTCACGTTTGTCAAAAGTGTTAATACCTCGGTAATATACACTCATGTCTGTCAAAAGTGTTAATACTGTACCTCGGTAATATACGCTCGTGTCTGTCAAAAGTGTTAATACCTCGGTAATATACACTCATGTCTGTCAAAAGTGTTAATACCTCGGTAATATACACTCATGTCTGTCAAAAGTGTTAATACCTCGGTAATATACACTTATGTCTGTCAAGTGTTAATACCTCGGTAATATACGCTCGTGTCTGTCAAAAGTGTTAATACCTCGGTAATATACACTCATGTCTGTCAAAAGTGTTAATACCTCGGTAATATACGCTTATGTCTGTCAAAAGTGTTAATACCTCGGCAATGTACGCTCGTGTCTGTCAAAAGTGTTAATACCTCGGTAATATACATTCAAGTCTGTCAAGTGTTAATACCTCGGTAATATACACTCATGTCTGTCAAAAGTGTTAATACCTCGGTAATATACACTCAAGTCTGTCAAGTGTTAATACCTCGGTAATATACACTCAAGTCTGTCAAAAGTGTAAATACCTCGGTAATATACACTCATGTCTGTCAAGTGTTAATACCTCGGTAATATACACTCAAGTCTGTCAAGTGTTAATACCTCGGTACTATACATTCAAGTCTGTCAAGTGTTAATACCTCGGTAATATACATTCAAGTCTGTCAAGTGTTAATACCTCGGTAATATACATTCAAGTCTGTCAAATGTGTTATCAGATCTTGATATTAATTAAAAGTCCTAGATATCTTTGATTACCTCAGTACTCCATATACTATATATAGCAGAAAGCTTTCATATATTTTAAAAAAAAAGGTAACACATTGAATTTTGCAAAATAACGGCCATTGTATCTTTATAGTTATGGCAGGGTTCCCTCACTTATTTGATGTCAGAATTCAAGGCCTTTTCAAGGCTTTTCCAAGGTCATAAAGAGAAATTCAAGGTAATCTACAATCCAAGGTTTTGGAATATATAACATTGCATGCAGCTTCTTACTGTTCTGCAAAGATGTACTATGTTGTAGTCAGATTCAACAAATAAATACATGTATTACTTATATTTGGTTAATCCAAATGAGTCATGTTGGCTCTTTTACACCAGGCTAGTATATCCTTTGTTTGATTATTGTTGGTGCAAATAATTTTCATCAACTGAATCAAATAATCAAAACTATAAATTATGAAATTCAGGCTTTTTTCTTCTTTTTTTTTATGATATTTCACAAAGTTTTCCCAACCAGGAAATTTGTTTTCTATTTTCCTGGCTTTTTCAAGTTTTCAAGGTTGTGTGGGAACCCTTTTATGGATCAAATTCCATCAATAAGTCTAGTTTAAATATTGTGTTGGTTTTTACCATTATTTTTCATTAATAGAACCTGGCGACTTTAACTATAATTTGCAATTATGAGCTATATTTTTATCCCTACCTCGGCGAGATAGATGAGTTTTGTTACGGAGTGTTAATATATTCTATATCTACCAATACCTCTGTAGTATTGTAGACTGTTGTAAATACCTCTATAACAGTGCGTAGTGTTGATGACTTTTATGACGTACTGGATTCTCTTTTTATCGTATTGAAATGATTTTTACCAATCACAAAGCATAGCCTTCGATGCCGTGTGGCACAGTGGGTGATTTAAGTAACGGAAAGTAATGACCTCGCTATGTAAGTGTAAATGTATGTACCTCTTCATGTTTGTCGCACGGGTATGTGTGTGTGTGTGTGTGTGTGTGTGTGTGTGTGTGTATGTGTGTGTGTGTTTTTTTTTTTTTTAGTATATTCATTAAGTCCGTGGTGTAAAGTAAAAGAGTGGAAACAATGTAAATATCTATATTTAGTCCGTGGTGTAAAGTAAGAGAGTGAAAACAATGTAAATATCTATATTTAGTCTGTAGTGTAAAGTAAGAGAGTGAAAACAATGTAAATATCTATATTTAGTCCGTAGTGTAAAGAAAGAGAGTGAAAACAATGTAAATATCTACAACTGTATATTTAGTCCGTGGTGTAAAGTTAACAATGTACATGTTTTGTATGTAACACGTAATGTATTGTTATATAACATAGAGAGCTATTTCGAAATGACGTTGAAACCGATTTGAGATCAGGTAGGCCTGAGAAAGGCGAAACTTTCTCACAAGAAGCTATTTCGTACGTTGGCTTGAGATGGCAAGAACGAGTAAGACTTTTGATGACCTCAAGGACTTGATGGTGCGCGACCAATTTCTTCAGGCTTGCGGGCACGATCTTGTGTTGTTTTTGAAGGAGCGTACTCCGTCTTCATTGCCAGAAATGTC